AGCTCAGCAAACCCTGTGGGTCACAGTTTACATCACAGCAGCATCCTGCTGGGGCACACCTCAAATGCAAAGCTGATATAAAGTCTGACATCACTTCTCTGAAGGGTTTTAAAACACCAAGACAGAATTGAATCCATTAGAATGCTTCCTCACAAACCTCATTCTTACTGGCATTCTCTGAGCTTGAGATTGGCCTGTAAAATAAAGCTAAAATTTCTTCAGTTGCCAAGTCTCAGTACAGTCTGTGCATTGCTGACATGCACAAAGGGGAACTCATTTCTCCTCATTTCAGGTGACGTTTCAAAGTTCAGCTGTGGCCTAAAAATCAACCCCATTCTTAAACAAGAATGCAGCACGTGCTTCCTTCCTGAGATGGAAATGAGGAACAGGGCAGGGCCCAGAAAGGCAGAACCAATGGAATAGAAACAGTGAGTTATACAGGTGTCCTCCTGCCTGTCATTCCCTCGCCAAGGTGTCCTTTTTCCCTGTGCAGAGTTTGCTGCAGGTGCCACTGAGAAGCATTGACTGAAATTCCGAGGTTAGACATGCAAGAATTAATATTTATCTGTCTGAAGGGGGGCCACGTTCTGAACAGAAGCAAAGAAAGCTCCCACATGCAGGTTTTGAGCCAACACAGGGCCTGGAGAGGTGCCCAGGGCTCAGGAAGTCAGCTGGGCCCTTTGATGTGGCTCTGCACGAGAAGCTACAAGCTCAGATCCTCAGCAGAGCAAATTAGGCAACAAAGGACCCGTTTGATTTAGCAATGCTGCTTCCAGGGCTCAAGACAGTTCACCTGAAGGAACACATGGATGTYTGGGGCCAGGGTTCACTGGGCAGAAGCAGAATTGCCTGACAGTTTCCTGTAGGAGTCTGAAGAAAGACAGAGCATTGAACTCAATGCCACTGTGAAATTTCTCAATTTCCTTCACCCAGAAAGCAGAGAAAGAAYGCACTCACCTGCTTTCACTGTCCAGAAACACAGAACTGCTGCTCTTCCCCAGGGCTTCACTGATGGGAGAGAGGCAGAACGGGGAMGAGAAGGCATCAGAATCAGAGTCCAGAGTGCTGTCCCTGCTCACATCATCAGCAGACAGCTCCAAGGAGCCCTCRTCCTCCCTGCAGTCCGTGCCCTCCTCCGTGCCCTCCTGGGAGCTGACTGTGGACAGAGTCCCCGAATCGCTGCGGGGCGGCTGCGGGGACCGCCGGCTGCTGCTCTGTGCCAGCTTCTCCCCTTCTGGACCATCCCTGGATAGCTGGGCCACGGGCAGGATCTCATCCCCTCTGAGGGTGCCTGTTGAAGGGGACACAGGCCGGGTGCTGGCCCAGCCCTGGGCGTGGTGGCCGCGTTTTCGGGGCGCTTTGCGCACGGGGGAGCTCTCGGGGGTGACGTAGCGCAGAGCCTCCTCATCCTGCCGCTGGATACGGGCGTTGGGCACCCAGGCCAGGATCAGAGTGCTGCCCAGCAGCTCGTCCTTCTCCGTGTACAAGCACAGATAGCCTGAGGAGCGAGCACAGGACARTGGTTGGGACACAGACACACTGCAMAACCCTGAAATTTCCCTTTCCGCGTCTCTCCATCCCCAGAAATGTTCCAGGCTGGGCTGGATGGGGCTCTGAGCAGCCTTCTCTGGTGACAAAYGTCCCTGCCCATGACATGGGATTGAAGGAAATCCCTAAGCTCCCTCCCAACCCAAACCATTCCTTGATATCCCCCACTTCACCACCACGACATGTGGGCAAAACAAACCCTTTTATTTACCAGGAGAGAATCCTGCCAAAAGAAATGTGGAGTGCTCAACACTATTAAGTATTTGCAAATCAATTCCCTCTGGCCTAAGTGAACAGAAAATGACATGCAAATACTTGGGCTTCTTGCATAGATTTACTAATCAAGAGTAAATTGTGAAATATGTTGCCACATGAAAAGGTTCTACCATCTCTTAGTTAAACAAGTTCAAGTGCCAGATGAGCATTGGTTTCTCAAGAATATTTACCTTAGTGTAGCTAAAGTTTTCAAGAGAAGCCAATGGAAAAAGAAGTCACCCACACAAAAAGGGAAGCAAGGGTCAGTGTTCAGAGAATAGTTTGTTTTGTGAAGCCAAGCCAAAAGCCTCAGGTCTTTGATGAGAACATGAAAGAGCACAGGAATAAAAGGCCAGAGCAGGATTTATCCTGATTTACTCCAGTGCATGCAGCCACAATCAGGCTTTTTTGTTTTCCCTTTACCAGTGGCTGCCGAGGCCACTCCAGCAATGACAATTACAAGAGGATATTTGGATTTTCTTAATGCTTCATGGACATGAATGAGCAACAGAATTCATATCCTTACAGGACAACTTCTGGCTGTACTAAAGACTTAGTAAATCAGGTAAATCCATGCTGGACCAGAAGAGAAAGGAGCAATATCATTAATGCTGCTGCTAAAAGAAGAGTTGATGGATCAGCTTGTAGGTGGCTTTCCTCAGTTTTCCACAAAACTGCTTTGCCCTGTCCCCCACTGGCACCTCTTCATTTTTTAGAGCTCAAGATGTAGAATTTGACAGAAATAACACCCAGAAGAGAGAAAAAGAGCATCACCTGGGTGGTGCTCCCCGAGGGCCTGCAGCAGCTCYGGGGGGTGCACACAGACATTGTTTTTGGAGTAGATGATGTCCCCATCGAGCACGGAGGAGGAACCACCAGCACTGCTGGCAGTCAGGGTCAGGAGGTCGGACGCTTTGGAAGAGGCTCGACGGAGGAGTCGCCCCAGAGACATCGCCAGGGAAATGTTTCCATCATCTGGCAGCTCTAGGCAGGAGCCAAATTCAGAAGATCTGCCAAGAAAGGGGGGAAAAAATAGTGTGAGAACCAAAATAAGGATAGCACAGCACAGCACGTGCCACCCACTGTCTGAGGACGAGTCTGCCATCAACCCACAGCTCCAGCAAGAGCCTCCAAATGCTCTGGAGCTGTGACATCACCTTCATTCTTCAAAGGTGTTAAAGCACAAAATCCTGGCACGTTTTTCTCTGCATTGAAGGAACGTGAAGGCAGCAAACCCCCATGTTAATAATTACAGTGGGGAGGAGGCAGAACTGCAGTTCTGGTCACTGCAATCCCCCACTGCAATCCTTCAGCACAGAAATGGCTCAGACCACAGCATTGAACATGGGGCTGCTGCTCCAGCCACAGCATCTCCAAAAACAACATCACTCAAACCCACTTCAGCTCGTGCTTGCCATTTCTGTGTGTTCGAGGTTTCTGGGGTTGGGATTTTTTTCCTGTGAGGTTGTTTTTTTCGGTTTGATTTGGGTTCTTTGTAGCAGTGATGGTTAAATAGAGCTTTGGCAGAGATAAGGCTCGAAAGCTCCATGTGACCCCAGGCACACCAAACCMACTCAAGGCAAAGATTTCACCCATCCAGAGTTTCACTGAACCATGGAGAACAATCCCCAGCTCACCTCCAAACAGCTCTGTGCCCAAATGGGATGTGCTGCTGTTGGGGCTGATGATGAGGAACTCTCTGATGGACCCAGAGGGGTCACCCAAGCTCTAAAACATCCAGCAGATGGACCAGCACGTGTTGGAAAAGCAGGAGGGTCTCACACAAAGCAGAACAAGCTCCSTGCAGCCATCCCCAGCTGGGAAGTTTCTGTTCTGCCAAAAGCACAGGAGGACAGGGAGCTCCTACTTTTGTTCCTTTGTGTTTCCAATGCTCAGCTTGCTGTGACCAGGCCAGTGTGACCCAGCACAGCCACACATGGCCACGCTGGCAGCACAGGGAGAGCCCAGCCCTTTCTGCTCCTGGGGCACAGCTCAGCAGGGACAGCCAGAGAGGAGAATAAAACAGGCAATCCATGGCCTGGGGCACCTTCTGAGGAAATATTTAAGGGCCTAAAGCAAGCACTGCCTAAGGCTGAACAGCTCCTARCTTGGTTTTGATGGCAAATGCAGCCAAGGAGGGGAGAAGGCAGAGAGGGCAAAGGGAAATGGGCATTTCCCAAAGGGCAGAGGGAAGGAAAATAGCTGTCCTGCTTCTGACAGATAGCTTTTGTTAAAGGACAAACTATTGGTTCAACTGGCAATCAGCACATTTGTCAGCCTGAATCACAGCAGAGATGTTTTCTGCATTTCAATCCTTGCTGGGGCTTGATGGAGAAGCCTCAACCCTGTTCTGTACCAGCAAGTGTTGAAGGTAAGAGAATCACTCTGCAAGTGCTGCACACTCCTGTCTCCTTCTAGCACCAGACACAACATGTACCCTCATGTCTCAGCCCCAAAAAACCAGCTAAGCCCTATGCTCATCCTTGTCCACATTGCCAAAATCCACAGGCTCTGGGTTACACCCGGCAGAAAATTGCCTCAACCACATTTCAGGAACACATCACCTTTCCTCTCATTGCACCCTGCAAGAACACACAGTAAATTCTGCTGCAATTTCTCCTTCCCTACACTGAGTTCCACCATGCTGTTTCCAAACAGGGGCTGGGGAATCAGGGGCACTGATGTGGAGTGGCCTGGCCAGAACTGGGGCTCACCTCTCAGCACAACAAAGCTTTCATCCGTGTCAGAAAATCCCTCAGAACCCCAAAAACCTGCAGGAGCACAGGAGGAGCTGGCTGCTGGATGCCAGGGAGTGTTTCCCCAGGAAACACAGAGCCAGGAGCTGGAGAATGTGAAACAGGAGCCTGTGTGATGTCCTCTGCAGGCAAGGGTCAGGAATTTCTGCCAACACAGACACCACTCAATGAGCTCTCACCGGGCACAGAAAGAACAAAGGTGAAGATCAAAGCTGCTCCCTGCAAAGCTGCAGGAATTGAAAGGGAAATATTCCTTTGATCCTGCAGAGCACCTGTTGTTCAGCACTGGCTGCATGTGCAGGTGGATGGTGCTGCAGGTACACACAGGGCTGGGGAGAGGAAATAAAAAAAAACACAAAAGGTTTGGAATACAGCATCCTGCCAGCTCAGAAATTCACTCTGCTGGACTTGTCCTGCAGAAAAGCTGCACATCAGAAATCAGAGACCACTGCAGTGCTGCAGACAGTAGCCAGACATTGGGATACATAAATACCACCAGGAAATTCAATCCTTTCACTGTTCTCACAGGGCAGGGAATTCTGTGCAGCTTTGGTTGCAGGATTAAAGAAAAACAGATGCAAGTCACGGGACAGTTTCRGGGAGGGTGAGAAGAGTTATCTGGGCCATGGAAAGAGATTGCCAAGGGAAGATAAAAGTGAGGGAAATGGATTAAAAGTCTTCACACATGGGAACAGTGACTGCCAAAGAAAGGAAGAGCTGCTGATGGACAGGAGGAGCTGTAAGGCACTGAAATGTGGCAAGGAATACCCAGTTTTGTTATTTTAGTAGCTGGGACAGTGGTGTGCCGGAACAGGGAACCTCAAGGGGCCATTTCCACCACTGGGGTTTCAAAAGCTGCAGAAACAGATACACAGTTGATCCCAGTGARGACCAGATGATGGTCTGGACTTCTGAAGATCATCTAGTCCACTGCTACAACCCCCAAACTCTCCAAAAGTCAGCTTGGAAACGTGCTTCTCCTTCCTAAAAGATGGGAGTTCATACAACACAAACCAACCGAYAACAAAGAGGCCAAATCTGCAGGGTTTGCTCCATTCTCAGCMTTTTCCTCTGTGGGACAACATCTGCACACACAATCTGTGGGGCCTGGGTTGTGGGGAGAGGCAGAAACTGCTGCTGCTTCTTGTGTGAGCTTGGGAAGACAGCAGGAAATCAGCACCATTCAAAACCCCCCATTTTTCACATGAATTTTGTATTTATCCTCTGATCTGGAGGGATTCTTCTCAGCGTGGCAGAGCCAGCTCAGCTCTCTRGAAGCTGAAGCACTGAGTTAGCTGATAAGCTCTTGCTGAGTGCCAATATTTATTAAGCACACACACATTTTCTTCTCCCACACATCAACTGTTGCCACTAAAAATCTTCTCTSCAGCTCCTGTGTCTGTTCACACAGCCCTGGCTGCTCTCCCAGCCGGTGCCAGCACTTCTCAGCTTCATCAGTGAGAAAGCTTTGAGGAGCCAATTCCTGAAATCACGATGGAGTCTCTTCCCCAGARTTCCAGCCAGCAACATCCAGAAGATGCTGGTGCCCACAGCTCTGCCCTTSCCCTGCTCAGGAGCCCATCAGCAGGATCTGTGGGAGGAAAGGACTCCACAAAAGTCTTAATTTTAAAATTCATCTAATTATTGTGTATGACTGAGGCTTGGGAAAAGAAAGAGATGTTAACTGCTTACATAGAGGAAGAATGCTGCATCTTTGAAAAAAGCAGATTAGAATGCAGAATTAATAATGCAAGTGACTGAAAATTATAARCATTACTAATACTGTAGCTTTTGCAAACTCACCAATTATGTTCTGATTACTAATTAAACAGCTGTCTCTTGACCAATGTATGTTTGACACAAATGTATACTCTGGTTGCTAAAGTGGATAAAAGAGGCTTGTCCCGTAATAAACTTCTTTCTTTCTTTCTGTTTTTTTCACCCACTTTTTGTGTGTTTTATATCTATTCTTTTCTGTCGCTGTTGGGCCAGCAGCAGCAAGGATCCTGTTTGCCTTGGCACTCACACCTCACTTGGCACCTGTTCCTGCACCAAATGCTGCTGTTTTGGGTCACACAGGATTCCTGCATCCCTGGAGGAGGGCAGTGCCAGCTCCAGCCCGTGGTGACACAGCTGGCACATCTCTGGGGACACTTTTTGCTCTGCCAAAGCAGCTCAGCCCAGAGCCCAGGACACTGCTGAGCCCTCTGTGGGCACTGCCTCCCTGCCCACATTCGCTGGGCATGGCTTTTAGAGCTTTACAAGCAACATAAGCCGAGCTGCAGGGCTCTGGAAGTGAAATGTGAGACCTGCAGCATGTCTGGGCACAGTGGAGAAACACGAGCTGTCCAACAGCAGCACCGTATTTAAGCATGAAATGGCTTTGGTAAGAAAAACACAACAGGCTCATTCTCTCTCTTGCCTTTAATAACTCCAATTTAATTTTATATATTTAAGAAGTTGCTGCAGCAGTGGGACTCAGACACTGCACAAATTCCTGCTTCAGGAATAGCAAATGCTGTGTTTGGAACTCGAGCACAGTCCTGGAGTSAGGACTSRCAGTTTTTGCTGTGCCACTCTCAGYTGGTCACTCACTTGATCTCTACTGCTCTATGAGAGCCCTTGGACGACCTTCCCTTTGTATGACAATAGAGAATAAAAAGAGAAAAGCTTTCCAAACTCCTTGCTAGGCTGAAGCCTGTTAAGAGGATCCAGCCAAATCAAGGAAAAACATTTACCATAGGGAGCCACTCTCTGAAGTCATCCCATCTCATGGGGAGAACTATGTAGGTCACCAAAAAGTCTTTCATTGCTGCCCTGCCAGAGCAGCAGCAGCTCACAGAGCAAAGGAAGGGAACAGCTAAAATGCCCACAATTCCAACTGCAGCGGGACTGATTTCGCTCAGATGCATCCCAGAGGAGCAGGTAAAGAGGCAGCAGCCTGAATCCTGCACGGTTGTGACTCAGGAGGTAAAAAGGGAAAGGGAACTCTATGTCAGGGCTGGCTGCTCCCAGCCACACCTGCTCAGGCATCAGAGAGCAAACAAAAAGCAAACAAAAAGCAAACAAAAAGCAAACAAAACGCTCACCCCCAGCACCAAACCCACAGTACACATTGTCACTGGGACACTCTGTGTGCCACATGTAGCTCCATCCCCGATTTACCAGCATTTCGTGTCACTTATCTGCACTGCTCGGGCTGCAGGAAACACTTCTGTGATTTTTTTATTTCCAACATCCTGTTGCTGTGTCCTGATAACACTCTCAGGACTTGATCTCCCCACATCAGCAGCTCAAAGCCCCAGGATCACAGCTGATTGCAGACTCTGTTCCCAATAGGACAGACATCAGACCATGCATCATTTCTGGACACTGAACACCCCCTTTTTCCTGACACGGGCAGGGCTGTGCCCTTCCCTCCCTCATTCCCTGAAGGGTTGAGCCTCCCTCTGCCCATTCCCRGATCTCCAGCCTCAACACCTCCCATACAGCCAGAACAAATCCAGCATGGAAAAACAGCTTTGAGAGACTGTCCACGTATCACCAGGACACAGCTCCTATAAACTCACAGGAGGCTTCTACAAAAGCACCAGCAAGTCCAAGATCTTTACCCTGAGCTGTCCCAGCCTTCACATTTCTACTCCTTCCTCTAGAAAGAAATTTCATTTTTCATCCTGTTCTGAGTGGCAACTAAGAACAAAACACCTCTGCAAGACAAGCTCCCATCCTGAGATCCGAAAACACAAATCTGGAGGARGCAGCAGAGTTATTTTACGGAGTGTCAGCAGCACAGAGAGCAATACCCCACCCCACAACCCTCTGCCTGCAGCGTCCCAAGGCTACTCATCAAAGCACTGCCAACGATCCCCATCCACTTTCTCCGCAGGTAACAATTTAGGAAGATATTCGGGTTGAAGAAGACCAACTTCCCGAAAGGAAGCAAAACATTGAAATACCCCAAACTGCACGGAGCCGCACCGAAATAACAGAA